TAGGAAATAGATACAGCGCTAGGAACATAGAAAGTATTCATTAAAATAGCTTATTAGAGAGTGTTAAGACTTCTGAATTATAACAATTCCACCATTAGGTAATGTGCACCTATCCTTTTAGCATATCTGTTATGCAAATCTAGATTTTCTAAACTAAGGAAGCAGAGATTCTAATCTTAAGCATGTTCATCTAGGCCTAGAGACAGAGTGTATGGAAGAGAACATGGACAACGAAAATGTGGGAGACATATTGAGAGAAACAAAATCCCTGTGACCAAGAATAAAAGTTTTGTTCAGGTATTACTTTATTACAAGATTATTTGATCGGGTTATAGCTATAGGGAGAAAGAGATCAAAATGAAAGGTAAGAGCTGAATGTATAAAAATAAGATACAACAACAAAATAGCTACCTAAATGAGGATAGAAAGCACAGACAAGGGGGGTAGATAGAGCTCGTGGAGATGACAAACACAAAATAGGAGATAAAAAGGCCAGGGCTATACATAATTTCCTTGGCTAATCTTTTTTGCATTTCCTAGAAATTAATGATAATACCTCCTTATATCCTAGGAAGAAAGTGAATGTAGGAGGCCTTTTTTTCTTGTATTTGCCTGTTTCTCTTTCTTTCTCTTCCTCCCTTCCACTTTCCTCCCCTCCTCCCTCCCTCCCTCCCTCCCTTCCTTCCTTCCTTTCTCCCTTCCTTTCTTTTTCTTTCTTTTCTTTTGAGACAAGGTCTCACTTTGTCACCCAGGCTGGAGTGCAGTGGTGCAATCACAGCTCTCTGCAGCCTCAACCTCCCAGGTTCAAGCCATCCTCCCACCTCAGCCTCCTGAGTAGCTGGGACTACAGGCATGAGTCACCATGCCCGGCTAATTGTTGTATTTTTTTTGTTGAGACGGGGTTTTGCCACATTGCCCAGGCTGCTCTTGAACTTCCGAGCTCAAGCAATTCACCTGCCTCAGCCTCCCTGTCTCCATTCCTATGACATATTCCCTTATGTGTTCAAGGTAAATATCTTATTCCTACCTTAGATGACTGGGAGTTTTGCACAGAGTTGTGGTTAGTAATGGCTTTTTTCCTTCCTTTTCATTCATACATTGCTACATTCTTAATTTGGCTTCTTACTTTTAGAGCTGGGTTTGAATCTTATGAAAATGCATACTTATTTTTGTAATATAGTCCAAGAGGAAAATAGGCTTTTATGTATAGATATTCATGAGAGTACATAATGTGTAAATCACGGGAACTCTTTATCTTTATGAGGTCAGCACTGAAGCCTCTTTGTGGTTATTGATCTAGAGAAGCTAGATACTGCAGCATTTCTAAAGGTTTAAGAGTGATGGTATCAGGGAGATTTACTATGGTGGTAAATTTTTATAAATTAGGATCTCATATTTAATATTACAATAAAGCAACTATTTGAATGAAAGTCTTTGGAATCATTACTATCCCTGTCCCCTCTCGTCCTCTACCCTCCTCTCCCCTTCCCTTCCCTTCTTCTTTTTCTCTCTCTGTCACCCAGATGGGAATGCAGTGGCATGATCTTGATCTTGGCTCACTGCAATCTCTGCCTCCTGGGTCAAGTGATTCTTGTGCCTCAGCCTCCCTGGGATTATAAGTGTGCACCACCAAGCCCGGGTAGTTTTTGTATTTTTAGTAAAGATGGGGTTTTGCCATGTTGGTCAGGCTAATCTTGAACTCCTGACCTCAAGTGATCTGCCCGCCTCGGCCTCCCAAAGTATTGGGATTACAGGCATGAGCCCCCTTGCCTGGCCTGCAATATCCTTGTTTCTATTTCCAACTTTCTCTTAACCAAGAGAATAGAAGGCTAGCTCTCCTATTAGAGTGGAATGACCTGGCCAGGAGTTTGAAATAATTCTGTGAAGGCATGGAGAAAATGTATCTGCCTTCTTCCAGAAGTCTTTGCCTCTTTGTCTACATATGCAAGAAAAGATATGCCTGATCTTCTTCTTCTCTTTTGATAACTTCGCCTATATTAGAAGTCGAGATTAACCCAGAAATCTCAAGGCAGTCCATAGCCCCAAAGACAGGATCAAAAAGATTTCCCTCAAAACTACTATAGGAAAAAATGAGTAGAGTGATTTTGGGGTCTGGATTGATTGAAAAGAGCAGGAGTCTCTCAGTCCTTTGCCTGCTGTGATTCTTTCAATAGTTTCCCATAGTTTACAAAACACATTGATTTTTATGGCTTTAACCCTGAGATTTTTTTAGATGGCATAAGCCTCAAATTCAAAAAGAGCTCTGATTCCTGATTGCTTTACTCAGACAGGCCTTTCAGCAGCTGTAGTCTGTTTCCCAATCATCCACAAGTGCACTGCATTGTTAGAATCTCTGCTTCGATGGGCCTTTGAAGCCTGCCTTCAACCCTCAAACAATAGCTTCTGGAGTAACCTGCTGTCTCCGTGTGCCGCACATGTCTTCCCCAGCACAGTTACAATGAATAAAGTTGAATTGTTGCTGGAATGATTGTGTTCCAGTTGATACTGATGAATGTGCTATAGTAGTCAAATGTCACATCTGGAAGGCCCAGTGCTCACAGCTGGGCTAAACGCCAGACACCATCACCACACGTTCATTCTACATGTACTTACTGAGTACCTGCTATGAGCCAGAGGTTGAAGCTCCAATTTGTTATTTGACTCTCACTCTGCTTCCAAGCTACCTATTGGTCTCCTTGATTTTGTCACCTTTTGGTAAATTAGAGAATTGATAGTAAGAATTCCAGGTAGTTTTCAGTCCCAGGGTTGTTGAGAGGACTGTTACCAATGCAGAATGCCCCAGCTGCCTTAAAAATATAGGCAGTAGAGTTAATGTACTTCAGTTGAAAGCATTCTTTCAGAGTATAGGGTGGGAGACCTGAGCTCTAGTCTTGGCTGTCGTTGTGTTATCCTGGGCCTGGCCTTATGTTGGCTTCAATCTCCTCATCTGCTAAATGAGTGGGGTGGATTGCACAGTTTTTAAGGGCCCTTGCAGCTCTGACATTCTTGGATTAGACTGTAAGCATTCAGAGCTTGTTTAACAATCATAATTAGGCAATTCTGTAAATTGGTCTGTTTTGGTTCAGGTAATTAAGGAAGAAAACCCTTTCTTTTTTCCTTGTCAGAGAAAATTGGACAGTACTTTGTTCCTGTCACTATAAAACAACTAATATTCAAAAGAACTGAAAACAATCATATTTAAGCAGCAAGTTAAAATGACTGCACTATATTAGTACACTTTCCTTCACTCAGCAAGAGTTCTATTTTAATCTGTCACTTTCAATATTACAGCTGCATGTTTTAGTCAATTTAGGCGAAGTAGCTACAGTGATTTTGAAAGTACTAATGATTCTTATATGGCAACTGCAAATTCCCTAGGTAGAATCCAGCCAGGGCTGGCTCTGAAGACATTGGCTCTTAGTGAGCTTAAAGGCCCCACATGTTCAGTGGTGGCAACATGCCACAGGTGGCTCATGATGAATTCAGAGTTTTTTGAGCCCATGAAAAAAAGAACTGTGGCTTAGAGATTTATGGGTCCAAAAGCTCCTTCCTCTGCCACAGAGAAGACCAATCCCAGTTTGCTGTTGCTGCCTTTGTAAGGGATGGTCTCTATGGAAACAGAGCCAGAGTGTCTCACTTTTACCAATTTCAGAGTGCTGAGGCTACAGACCTTTGGTCATTCAAATTTGAAGCAACAAGTTTAATGAATGAATTAGCATCCTCCTTAAATCTGAGGCAGACAGTTATAGTGTCTCTTCTTTCTTCCCCTCCTTTGGTCAACACAAGCAGAACTAATTTCCTTTCACTTGTTCATAAAACCTAAACCCCAGGCATTATTCTTATTTAAGCATGGCCTTCTTTCATGATACTCAATGCAAGGCTAATTGCTACTCTGGGATAAACATGGATTCAGATGCAGGTAACAATTATTGAGCAACTACTGTCTAGTAGTGTAGTATGCACTCACAAAGCAATTTATATACATTATTTAACTGTACATACATATATAAATCTGAATTAAAATTTAATGAACACTGTTGGTATTTGGAACACAGCAATTACTCCTTGAATATTTGTTGAAGAAAGGAATAAAAATAAAAACATGAAATCACAGACTAACAAAGTTGTAAGGGTCTTTGGAGAGCATCCTGTCAAACTCTCTTATTATACAAGTGGATAAAAATTCCCAAATGCAGAGTGATTTATTGAAGGCCATACTCACAGCCAGTTAGACCCAATTCTGTGTCAGGTGGATTCAGACCACTGTCCTCTCTGGGATTACAGACATGTAATCACACTGCTTACAGCTCACACTGCCTTATATGAAAGCTGGATAACAGAGCATCAAATCCCTGCTGTGTTATATTGCATTTGAAAATATTTTTCAAAGTGTTTTGTTGAATGTGGTGTTTGGGATACCTCTCCGTGAGTGATTTAACAAGAAATGCCTCAAAAAAATGTATGTATGTATGTGTTTTCTTACTGATCCAGAGTCTCTCTGTCACCCAGGCTGGAGTGCACTGGCGCGATCTTGGCTCACTGCAACCTCCACTGCCCCCTGCTCCCTGGGCTCAAGTGATTCTCCTGCCTCGGTCTCCCCAGTAGCTGGGATTACAGGCGCACACTACCACGCCCAGCTAATTTTTATATTTTTAGTAGAGATGGGGTTTCACCATGTTGGGCAGGCTTGCCTCAAACTCCTGACCTCAGGTGATCTGCCTACCTTGGCCTCCCAGAGTGCTGGGATTATAGGTGTGAGCCACTGGTCCCAGCCAAGAAATTTAAAAATATGTTTATTTATACATATATGTAAAGACAATTAAAAACATATTGACTAAAAGAACTCAAGGAATCAGCAAGAGTGAGGCCTGGCTGGGGGTGAGGTTGGGGCAGGAAAAGGCAGCCGCTTGGCGGGGTCAAAGTGATTTTGTCAGTAGTCCCATGCATCATCAAATACAGGGTGACAGATTCACATCAATGAAATTCACAAAAAGCCAAGGTATGAACCAGAACATCAGTTTATTAATTCACAAAGGGAAACATACGTCAGTTGGTCAGCAACTCTCTAGAAAATTCAAGATAGAAGGATTAACTATAATCAAAATATTCCTTGGTGAACACAAAACCAGAAAAGGAGAACTTAGTTGGCTGATTGAAATGACTCATGTCTTTGAGCCTGCTACACCCTCCTCCACTTCAAGGGTATGCTAGTAAAGGAAACAGGATGCTTATATCCTTTGGTCTAGGCAACTTCCACTTCCTGTTTGGCTCAGAACACTGCTGGAGACACACTGTTGAATTCTTCCTCAAAGTCTCTACTAGCTGTAGATTGCAAACAAACTGTTCTCTTCTTTCTGTTAGCATTATTATCATTATTTTTAGAAAGGGTACAATATATCTGGGTCAATGTCAGCTTTGTTAGTTACAATGACCTGCCAATCTTGCCTTCATGGCGTCATGCCTACTCAGACCTTCATAACCATACAAGCTCTTAGAATGGCTTATTACTTCCATTATATGTGTATGTGTGTGTGTGTGTGTGTATATATATATAAATTTAACCCTCTAAAAGAAAGTTTTCCCCCAAATTTTTCAGGCTGCTTACTTCATCCCTATGTTCTGAAAAGCAATTCTCCACTATGAAAGCAAGTCTGGGTTTGATAGACATGTATAACTGTGTACAGCAGTGTAACAGAATGATGCTCCCTATTCAACACTCCTTTAATGACTGTGGAGGGTAAAAAGGAGAGAGGGAATGAGAAAGAGAAAAACTGATTTGGGGATTGGGATTTGGAAAAGGTAAAAGATTCAGGAATAGGGTAGAGGAAAAGTAGTAGTGTTTTTGATGAGTTTTAATCTCTCAGCTACTTCTGTGTTCTTTCTTCATGAGTGTGGTACCGGCCTTGTGATAGAGTAGACCAAAGATCCTGTACATACAGAACTAATAAACATTGATGTTTTGGTTGGAGAAGCAAAGAAGATTGGGAACATGGAATGCTGCTAAGGAGGGAAAATCAGGTGAGTTAGTTGCCATGATGGAGAACCATAGATGGACAGAGTGTAGAATTTAACTTCACAATTTTGTCAAGGACTGGGTCCTTAGAAATGGCTACAATTTCCCACCACATTATATTCCTCTAGTGATTCCATTTTCTAATCAATTTGCTCAGGTAAAACATGAAATTCTCCCCTGTAAAGAGAAAAAGCAGTAGACATAGAATGTATATATTCAAATCTAACAAGAGATGGGAAAGTGATTAGTGAAAGGCCCTGTTAATTTTCAATTCCAATGAATTAACCTTGGAAATCCATTTTTCGTTAAGTGAGCTTTGTTTTTTCCTTAATCCAATTGACATACCGGGATACCTTGGTGTATATTCCATATTTGCCTTTCATTGCACACTCTTCACCCCAGCTAATAATTCCAGTTAAGAAACTGGTCCCTTCCACTTCAGTAATATGGGGTCCCCCACTATCTCCTTGACATGAATCTCTACCTCCCTCATGGTAGCCAGCACAGAACATGTTGTTATAGATGGTGAACTTTGTAGATCGAAGACATGTGGCCCGGTCAACTAGTGGAACTTTAAGGTATTGAAGAACTGAAGCTGATCTCCCTCTATGGAAGACTCTTCCCCAGCCACTCACATAGCCAGTTCCAAATTTGAGGAAGATGTTCGTGTATTCCTTGTCAGCAATGCAAATAGGTGTAACATAGCTGTTTAGCACTAAGGGTTTATCCAGTTCCAGAAGGGCAATGTCATGGCTGTACTTATTAATAGTTGCATTGTAGTTGTAGTGAGGAATAATTCGAATCACATTTCGCTTTTGCTCTGTGTGTTCTGTCTCCTCAATGTTATGTTTACCTATTAAAAATAAATTTCATTTTAAGTCACAAACAATATTTCACATACACAGATTTTCTAAGTGGCTACTCGGCATCACTGACCTAACTGGCAATGTCAAAGATCTCAAGCTTATATTGTGATCATTTTGGTTAAATGTAATGAGAGCCAATTCATTTTTTTTTTGACCAAAAATTCATTCAGGACTATCATAGAGATGGGTCTGTTCACTCATGTTGTTATAGGCTTTTCATTGCTGATAATGAATCCACTAGTCATGAATTATCCTAGATCTGCCAAATTTCAAGTATTCTGATCCCTTTTTTGAGCACAAATTCATTTGGCCATCAATTCAAATGTTTTCTCAAGACCTGCTACAAGTTGTGCCAGGTACCAGAGACAAAAGGATCAGTGACATGACACTGATTTTTGGGAAGACTTTCTGGCATGGAAATGGCCACATCAAGAACTAGCTGTACCTCACTAAAGGGAATGATAATATGGGTACATCAAAAGAGCTATGGAGGCTTGGAGGATGGTGCAAGTTAGGTTTTGAAATTATGACCCTTCTGCCTTTAGCCAATTTATTCAGCAATAATTTTATTAGACCTTAGTAAAATATGGTATACCAATCATATTAAAGAGCTTGTGATGCTGCAGATTATTCTTTCTGTTTACTTACCTGCAACAACTGTAATTTTAACACCAGTTTCAATACAGTGGGCAGCAGTTACAACCCATTTCTCATTAACGATAGAGCCTCCACAGAATGCATCAACTTTGCCATTCAATACAACCTGTGAAAGCAAAATTAAGACTCTTACTGCACAATATATTTGATCTAGAAAAAAATAAATATGTATGCTGGTTATAGGAATAGGTAAAATGTTGGCTTCTAGGTGCTGGCAGAATTGGAGTATTGCTGGAAATGTGAGCTTTGCAGATGAATTAGTGTTTCTGGTGCATAAACAAAAAAGTCATTTATGTAACTGAATTGAAAGCAACACGCAAGGAGAGACAGGGAAGCTTAAGCTGAGGCAAGTCTGAGGAATGGCTTCTTTTGGTGATTTAAGGCCCTTGGATTTTTTTTCCCCATGAGTCACCTTCTCTGATGGCAAAATTTGCTTCATGGTGATACAGCAGATACATTAGGAAACACACTGATTTGACTCCTTGAGATTAATAGTTATTATGGTGTTCCCTGTACCTACATGATGTTTTTTTTTTTTTTTTTTTTTTTGCTACATGTTACTTGAAAAAGGAAAACTGCTGATTTTTCTAGGAGTTTGTTTCAAAACTTCCCAAACTGGAATATTATGAAAGAAGAACTAAGGACTCCGAAAGGGTTGTGCTTATAGCCATCCAGGCAGTGAGGAATAGCAGGGCTCATTCATTCTTTCCATTCTGTCTTATTCTACTCCCCTCTGGTTGGATAGTAAGCTGCCTTTGTCATAAAATATCAACTTAACTGTGCTTGAGTTTTGGGCAAAGTGGACAAAGGAGTGATGCATTGAGCCTGGGAATTATTAGATAAGAGGCCAGTCCATTATTTCAACTGGATGTTCATTGCATAATTACAGTGGACAATGAATATTTTCACCATCTCAACGTCTAGATCAACTTGGAGGATTTCAGTTCCAGTTGTAAGCAGGGGCCTTGATTCACCTTTACAGGAAGAAAACTGGGAAGTGTGAACACTAGAGGGCACACAAAACATTTAGTAAATCCTTTTCAGGCGCTTACTAGTTCTGAACGATTGCTGATTGCCCTTTTATTAAAGTGCATGCAGTCTTAGGCATATACCCATTCATAAACAAGGAAAAGGGGGTGGTCAATTACTTTAAGTGGGTATCAGATGGTCCTTGGGGCATGTTTTTTTTTGTCCTGAATGTAACTTACTGAATACCTACTACGTCCTGGACACTGAAGCACTAGCCTCCTACCTGGAGATCTACAGGGCTGACTCATTAAAGGCCTCTGACTTCCTTTTTCATACTCTAGCTCTATCTTTTTTTTTTTTTTTGAGACGAAGTCTCACTCTGTCTCCAAGCTGGAGTGCAGTGGTGCGATCTCAGCTCACTGCAACCTCTGTTTCCTGGGTTCAAGCAATTCTCCTGCTTCAGCCTCCCTAGTAGCTGGGACTACAGGTGCATGCCAACACACCTAGCTAATTTTTGTATTTTTAGTAAAGATGGGGTTTCAACGTGTTGGCCAGGATGATCTCGATATCTTGACCTTGTGATCCGCCTACCTCAGCCTCCCAAAGTGCTGAGATTACAGTTGTGAGCCACCACAGCTGGCCATCTCCCTCTCTTTCTAGCTCTTGATTTTTATTCTGAAATGTTGTAAAAATATAGAAAAAACCATATAATAAACACCAGTGTGCATACAACCCAGACTTAACAATTTTCCTAATTTTTTTGAACATTTATTGAGTGTTCATTTTGGGCTAATCATTGTGTTTTATAGACATTCAATACAATATATCCTTATGACATGATATTAATATATTTATAGATCTGCAAACTAAAGTTTAGAGATCAACATTTACTCCTCTGAGGTCAGTTTGTAAAGCTAGGAAGCAAACCCAAGTCAGCCTGACTCCAGAATTTGTGCTCCTAAGCACCCAATTTTGGTCCAGGCATGGTGTGTGGACCAGTTGCAGTAGAATCACCTGAAGGTCCCTCTAAAATGCAGATCTGGGGGTTAATCCAAGCTTAATTTATCAGAATATTTGGTGGGTGGGACTGGCCAAAATAAAGCTATCCAGAATATTCTTTACACAATTAAGTTTGAGATCTGTTATATATCTACTGAATCAGAATTTCCAAGGCTTGAGAATCCAAGGCTTGGGTATCTTTTTATGTTTTAGAAGTCTTCACTCGAGGCAGGGATGGCTACATACTTTGTGGGGCTCAGTGAGAAATAAAAAAGTGGGGCTTCTTGTTCAAAAGCTAGGAAGAAAAGTGCCATTGAAGATACTAACATACAAAACTTTTTTCTTTGTTCTGTAGTCTCTTTTGCAACCCATCATGTTACATTTTTTAAAGTTGCCATTTATTATTTTGCTCCCTCTAGCATGGGGATATTTGCTGGGGCAGTGCAGATCCTCAAAGGTGCCCAAGAAGTGCACCCTACAATTTAACACTCCCATGTCCCTAGGATCCCTTGCCTGGCAGTCACAGGATTCTGGGCCCCATCAGGGGAGAGTGTGTCAATCTTTCCTTGTCACTGGCCTACTGTGGTAATCAAGGTGGAGAGGTGATTCCCAAGAGATTGCAACGTCCATGCCAGGATGTGTTCCATGCCTGAAATGGAGGTGGACAAGGGGCATGTCCCTGTCATTCACCCTCCAAACGTGCTGTGGCATATTCTTGGGCCAGAGATGCTACACGGCCAAGCCCCCTTCCAAGGTAGCATAGGGCATGTGCACCTGACCAACCTTAACTCTCCCTACACCTATGCCCATGTCCTTGCTGGGGAAGGAGGGTGGCAATGGTAGCTGGGTAAGGATGAGGAGGGAGAGTATGTCTGGACACCATGGGGTGGCAGTGGTTATTGGGCAGGTGTTTAGAGGGAGGGCCAGGGCACAGATGCATTATCTGTCTCAGTGCAAAACCCTCTGCAAGTACACTGGTCATAAGACCATATGTCTGACTGTAACTCCAATTGATTTCCAGCATCAAGAAAACTTGGCCAACACTGTTATATACTGATCATGATCGTCACAACTGAACATATCTGTTTAAGCAACTGGAATTAAGAATTTACTTAATTCCACTTAATTATTAATGCAGTGATATTATGGTGCTTCTCCTCTGGCCAGTGTATTGGGGGAAATTGGACATCTCTCAGCTCAGTGGTCTATTCAGGCCAGGCTGAATGACATCCATAGCCCCTGGGCAGAGAGATTATGATGTAGCTAGTCTGAGTCTTGACAAAGACTTGCTTCTTGGAGCTTCTACTACTTTCTGGTGGAGGGCTAAGAAATATGATTGTGTTCTTTTAAGTCTGAAGAGTATTATATTTGCCAACTCCTGACCAAATATCCTTGCCAAGGAAAAGGCCTAAAATGTAATTAAAGATATTTACAAACTACTTGCTTTTGGACTGTTTGGCCACTCAGGGTCATAGCTATCAAAATATTAGCAATTTGGGGGAAGAGCTGTCTGTTTGGCCAAGGACAAGTTCTTATAAGACATCATTTTGAGGAATAATGGGGAAAATGGGAAGGCACATACTCTGAGTAAGGCATTTGAGTTATAATCTGTCAAACATTTTTGTTTGTCATAGTCTAATGGGAACCTGTTTTCCCTCTTTCAGACACACACATATATACACATCAATCACACAGATGCATCTACAAAATATAGATACACATCTGAATGTATGCTTTTCATTGACGATGCCAGCCCAGAACCACAGCTCTTACCCTTTTGTTCTCTTCCTGATCTTTAACTCCAAGGTAACCTTTCCCTGTGATTTCAGTGAAACCATTATTCTCCCTACCTACCCACCCCAGCATGACAATAAAGAGTGTTTGCTCTCTCTCTCATATACAAAACAAACAAATTCATTTGTCTGTGATGTACAGCTTGCTATGTCCACAGATATGGTTTGCCTAGTCCTGTGCTCTAGGTCGTTTGGCTGGGAACAGACGGGATGCTCACTTTGGTTTTCAACGGTTAACTAGTCATTGAAATTCATTTCATCAAATGATCTTAGAGGATAATTGTTTAACTATCTGTCCAGACTAGCTTTTTAGAGTCAGGTGAGATTATGTATGTCACATTCTTATTTCTCTTAATTGAATTTTTATCATCTGAGATAGGAATAATAGAGGGCTATCTTTTTCAAGTGAAGATATTACAATAGTCTTAAGACCTTAGTGTAACATCCTGGCCCCTAAGGAAAAAGAAGTTCTGGTTCATACATATAATAACTTTGCATGCTATCTGCCACTTGGATGTGTCCTAATTGAATGGAAAGGATTGAATTTCTGTAGCTAGCTGTACAGGGCAAGAGCTGTACAGGGTACCTTTAAGGATAGCTTCAGGCCAAAGCTGAGGGAAGTGGAGACAGGGGAAAATGCTAAGACATTTTAAAGATGTTTTAGGCCAAAAATAGAATAAGAAATAGACCATTTCCCTGGACATTTTCCGTAGGTTAACACGGTTAACTATTGGTAAATGCATACGCTACAACTTAATATAAGCATAAGGAAAGCTTAATCGCTTGGCTTCCATTGTATTCCTTTTTTTTTTCAGTAGAATAGAATGATCTTCAAATTGTTAAATGTAGAATAAATATGCCACATACTGAGCTGGGGCCTATGGCAAAACAAAAATGGAAAAAAACAGGTACTTCAGAGAAAGGGCCAAATAGTTCTTTGGAAATGTGGGAGGAATTTTGCGGGCCAGTTTGTACATGCCTAGAATTGTCAAGTGGCAGGGTCGTGGGCATGGGATCCAAACCAAGTTAAAGCATTATAAAGCCAAAACGCGGTGTTGTTTCTTTAAATCTCTCGCTTTTGAGCTGTTGATGAACGCTATCTAGTAATACAGGCGTTGCAGTTTCCCTTTTTTCACTAATGTTCAAAGGTTTTCATTTCTTCCCTATGTAGTGGTATGCAATTCAAGACATGTTTTAGTTTGCTACACTGCTAGATATATACTTACTCTAAGAAAATCTCATTTCTGTTCCTGTGTAGTGCATTTAACACTCTAGCTTCCTCTCTCTACTCCTGAAGTATTTCTTCAGAGACCTTGCTTCCTTTCCCGAGTTCTCAAGGAGCTCTGAGCTCATCGCTGGGCATCTGGAGGGAAAGTGAAGTACCTCCTTCCATTGGCCTCACGCCGTTCCTGTCTTAGACCTTCCTTGCACGACTTTAGAAGCTGGTCCGGCCCACCAGTGCCTTTGGCTTTAGGAAGTAGGAAAGAGGGTGGGGCCGGCAGTGCGGCTCCGGAACCACAGGGGGCTCCTGGGAAGCTACCGTCGAGAGCAACGTGCGGCTGCGTTGGACCTTGGCTCCAGCCTGGCAAGCTGAGGTGAAAGCCCTGGAATAAGGTAAGAAATGAGCGCCACCGCAGACGGGATATGTGCCAGGTGGACACGGTTCAGTAGGGTCTCAGAGCTGCACAGGATCCCACCCGTCCCTTAGACTGCTCTAATCTCTCGCCAGGTGAACGAATGCCCTCTCCCTGGGTGTGGCTATCCAGCCGCTGCTGTCCTCATTGACAGAACAGCTTTTTAAGTCAACAATTCCGACAAACATTTGTTCAATCAACATTTGCTCCCACCGCTGCCCAGCCTACGTAACCAACCCAGTGGTTGTTGGTTGGGAAGGGCTTTCTTAATGGAGACCAGAATCTTCTTGACGGCCTGCAACTTTCACCCTTTAGTCCACAAAGAAGTTATCTTCCCCTTTCCCTTGTGGCTTCTGCTAACAGCTCACTTACACCTTTTCTTTAACACTAGATGAAAGTGAACTCTCTCTGTTATTCTTTGTGAGATTTCTTCACCAAGTGGTCACTTTATCTGTCACCGTGGCTAATTTGAAAGATAAACGAAACAACTTTGAAGAGAAAGGTTCTTATGAAGCATCAGCGTTTTGAAATACTGTTTTCTAGGTGACACTGCTAAATACTATTTCATATTTGAAAGCCAGATTTATAATGTTTTCACCACTGAATCCCCAGATGTTGCTTGCTTTCTCTTGATGGCATAGTCACAGCAGGTTTGCTGCAGTCTGAGCTGCAATCAAATCTAGTATTTCCTCCCTGCAGATTAACCATGGCATGGTGGAGCTGGCCCATCCACAAATGAGGAGAGATTCTAGTTTGTTTTATTTCCTGTTTCATTTTGTGTAAAAATGACATTTGTATACTCAATTTATCCTGTAATTTTGAAAACCAGTAACCTTTCATAAGGAACTGGATGCAGGTGGTGTGGAGGAAACAATGCAGAAGTACGACAAGATCTTTCACAACTATTCTGGGAAGTAGCTCAGCTTCTTGCCTTCGAAAAAGAATAAAAGTTAGTGCTTTGAATCTGTACAAGTCAGTAATCTTAGTTCATATGGATGAAATAGGTAGTGAACTTATGTTTATGTGCATGTGTGCACATGCATGTATGAGTGATCTTGAACATTCCAAATGCTCTTAGCCAGGCTTGACATAAAAAAAAAACAACAGGTACAATAACTCTAAGTATGCAGTGAGAAGGTAATGAAATGATTTGAAATGATGTGTGTCATTTATATCTTCTCCCTACCAAAACAACCACAACCACCATCTCATAGCTTTTTCTGCTTGAAAAGAAAATAAGGTGACTGCTAGACTTATTAAACTTTCTTTCAGGAAAGATCCGCATTGTTAACACGTTGACAAACATTTGGTTTAAAGGAGGTGGGTGAGAAACAAATTAAGTGACTAAATTGAGCCTTTATACCCTGTCCCCCTTTTTAGCTCTTATTTAAATGTATTTGCCATTTCATTTCTGGAATGACAAGGAGACAATGCTAAACTCACAAAGCATGCATCCTACTTTTTTTTTTTTAATCTTGAGTTTTTAAAAACAGAAGTTATCTTCTTAGCTAATATATTCTTCTGGGTTCTTGGATCCTCTACTCTAAGCTCTGTTCTATGTCCCACAAACCCAAGGAAGATAATTGTCATAAAGTAGGACCTTTTGTTGTAACCGGCTTATCCATGTAAGTTGGACACATAATGAATGACAATACATGAGAACACAGATGACAAAATTAGAGTGAATTAGATACATGGATATTAAATACATTGAAAGCATAATAAGAGTGCTTGGATTCAAGAGGGATTGTTCAAGGAAAGATTCATAAAGAAGGTCAATATTACAGACTTGTGAAGAAGAGGAAAGATATGGATGAGTGAAGGAAGGGGTTATGGTAGGTAGGGGAAGCAGCCCTCGTAGGGTGCATTTAAGTAGAAAGAGAGGAGGTGAAAAGGAACATACAGTGTCCCATTTATGGGCCATAATATCAGGTTCAGCAAATATTGTCTTTCGGAAAAGCAAAAGTGAAAGAAAGGAATATATAAACCTTGATTGTGATGTTCTGCCACTCTCTGATACCATTCTCCACAATGCTTGTGCAATTATACCTATCACCCCATCCCCAGGTATATGTGTAATACCTTAGATTCATTGTGTTGGAAAATGGCAGGCATTCTCAAGAATCCTGAAAAGATACACAGCTGGTCCCAGAAAATTCCAATGCTGTTAAAACTAAGGACATTTACCTCATTCTGCCTTCAGTTGTTACCAGTTTGATAATTGCAAAGTCTTCCAAGTTATCAGTCTCTAATGGCAGAGATTCAAACCTCAGTAGAGAAATCCTTGAAACTACTACCAAATCAGGATTGTGGCAACTAGGGAGTTTTAAGTTAGACTAAACTATTTTAAGTGCTATCCAATAGAAATTTCTGCAGTAATAGAGTGCTCTATCTCCACTTGCACTCTCCAATACAGTAGTTACTAGTCACATGTGGCTGTTATGCACTTAAAATGTGGCAGGTGCAATTGAAGAACTGAATTTTTAATTTCACTTAACTGTAGTTAATTTAAATTTAAATAGCCTCTGTGGCTAGTGGTTACCTATTGGACAGCACAATTTTATATAAGAACCATCTGGCTTCCTGCCTGAGGAAGGGGGCCAAAGAGGGGAGCTATTCCTTCTCACAGATGGAATCTCTTAAGCTTTAGCTGTAGGCTAAGTTACAAACCAGATTTTGCTACAAATGTAGCTCTTGGTTGTTAAATAAAAAATGTGCATAGGTAATTCTACATATGTAGGTTGTTTGCAGACCACACTTGGAGAAAGCTCCGCAGAGCACACTGAAAGGTCTAGGTACAACGAGTCCGTTATTTGGTGTTTTGAATCCTGGCTTCTGTAACAAGTTCATTTACTTTGGGCCAGCGATTTTCTTTTTCCTTTTTTTGACATAGGGTCTCACTCTGTTACCCAGCTTGGCATGCAGTGGTGTGATCACAATTCACTGCAGCCTCGATTTTCCGGGCTCAGGTGATTCTCCCACCTATGCCTCCTGAGTAGGTGGGAGCACAGGTGAGCGCCATTACACCTAGCTAATTTTTGTATTTTTTTATAGAGACGGGGTTTTGCCATGTTGCCCAGGCTGGTCTCAAACTTGTGGGCTTAAGTGATCCTCCCGTCTCAGTCTCCCAAAGTGCTGGGATTTCAGGTGTGAGCCACTGCACCTGGCCTAGTTTTCAAACTATAATGTGCATCAAAATCACCTGCAGCGCTTGTTTGCACACAGATTGCTGGGCCCCACCCCCTAGATATTCTGATTTGGTAGGTCTAGGGTGGAGTAAGAGAATTTGCATTTCCAAGTTCCCAGGTGATTCTGATGCTACTACACTTTGAGAACCATAGCTGTAGACCAAGACTCTCTCTCATACCCTGTTTCTTGGAACCTAATTCTTGCCTTAATCCTTACTCCTTGAGTCCCTTTCTTTGCCCCCTTTAAAATAATCTAATTTCTCTGGGCCTAAAGTCTTTCCAACTTTGCAAAGGCTGAAGCTGAAGTAGTACCCTGAACCTGAGTACCTGTAACCTTTCTTCCAGACCTTCATGTTGCTGACCAGTTGCCTGTCTGGAATTCTGCTATGCTGTTTCCTTAATGGCAAATTCTTCTTGATCTGTATAGTAGTTAGTTTTGGGCCTCTCTTTCACCAGCGGTTCATCTCTGGAGGCATTCTCACATTGGTTAGTGCTGAAACTTGCCTAAATACTTCTCACATCCCAATAGGTCTGTCTAGTAAATTAGCCTCAGTCTCCCACTTGGCCTGTGTCTTGCCAGCTGAGCTCCAGTTTTGGCATACCATCAGTATAAAGTACCTGCCAAGGGAATTGACCTGGTTTGGCTTCTTCTCCACCAACAACGCGAGTGAAGTCATCAAATGATTGGGTGCTTTGAGTGACGTTATCCAAAATGGTTTCAACTTCAGTAGAATTTTCATTGTACACATCAGGAAAAACAGTCTCAGAACGGGTGAGCTTAGAAGTTTGTAAAGCAGAAACTCTTCCACATGGAAATGGCACTAGAAAAACAGAAGAAAAAATTAGTATTCTGATATTTCTCATTGGTAAATGGAACATGCATTATAAAAATTGAGATTGAGGCCCATCCTTGTTACTTCTGAGAAGCAGGCCCATCAGTATTTTTAAAAATCTAATCAGTGAATAAAGTCTCAAGCTAAAAGGTTGATTGAATTCTTTTCATGGAAAGTTTTCAAATCCTTCATGAAAAGAACAGTTGGCTCCGGAATTCATCATCTTTACGGAAATAGAATAGGTGTTCCAGAATCAAATTTGGTAAGACTTTTATAGAGTCTAATGACTTTCTGTTTAGTTTCTTTACTAAAAAGTCTTACTCCCAAGTGCCATCCCTGAATGGAAGTCTGCTGATTGATGCCTTGTAACTTTAACTTTCCAATTCAGTAAATGGGACGTCTGCTGCTTATCATTAAGAGGGTTTCTTTTGCAGACTAAAATGCCTTCTAGATTCCAAGGTGCATTTTAGGTATTTTCTGGGGAGAGAGAATTGTGATTCAATTGCCTGGCTTTCAAATATTATCCAAAGAAATTGCTGATATGATTATCACAGCCATATTCACCAGGACGTGCCCACCATTTTTCATTGGGTTGGTTTATTTTCTAAAGAAAAAAAATCTGTTGATACACTGGGGACTACCAGAATGGGAATTTGTAGTCAAACAAAGTCACCTCACATTTCATTTCCATTTCTCACTTTCCTTCAAGCCACATTCTTTGTAACAGACATTTCTATAGCAACCAGCTGCGACAAAGTATCATGAAGACAGCAAGTGGTTGAGAAAACAGGAAATTATTTCAAAATACTTATGTATAAATATACATGATCAACAATGGCTGGAGCAAAGGGACCATTGTTGAAAAGGCAGAAAAGCTTATTTTAAGTTTGGCTTACTTATTCTGCTAAAGCTAAGGCTATATTCAAATATAACACTTAATAAATTGGAAGTGGTTTTCAATTCTGTTTCTCTTTTATAGCATAGAAGAGCTTGTAAGGGTTTAGCTACTATACCATCTATCTATACTGGAAGTTAGGTTTTTAAGGTTAAAATACACAGACACACACCCACATACATATTCATGCTCCTCTCAAGGTAGACTAGCTTTGAGACAATGTATATGAAGAACCAGGCAGAAGGACAAGTGGGCAGGTCCTGAAGCCTTAGAGACTCTTCATTTTAGTTGCAGGATATATATTCCTGGCTTCCGTTTCTTTCTTTAATTTCCTCTGCCTGGCGTATGTTGAGATAGGTATTGAAACCAGTTATAGAGAAATGGTACATGATTTAATGTACCAATTTAATAAGATATCAGGCTTTGGAAATGCAAAAGAAATTATATCCAGTTTGCTTCAAAGAGACCCCTAATTTTCAAATGCATTTGACCCTGTAGAGCCTAAATTTTTTAAAAAATTAAAGTGTCTAGGGCTTTCATTTTGAGAGAGGAGTCATATGAACATGGAGTGGAGATGTTCTGAATACACTAATCAGCTGGTAAAATGGTGGCATGGTTGATATGACTGGGAAACATTGCTTTGTTCTCTGCCATATAGATTGTACTGATCAGCCTAGCAGAACTTAAAACAGTTCATGGCTGGAATCATTCTGACACCAAGTGTGTAAATTTGGCTTGAGACCCAACAATAAAAAAATAACTTTATCAGAGTAAACTAGCCAGCCCAAATAGAATCATGCTTCAAATTCACAATCCTTGTACTAGAAGCCTATCACTCTATCGTTTGTGTATATTTTATGATGTAGTATTAGTACATTGATTTGACTTGATGAATTACAAATGTATATGCAGAAATCACACAAATTAATTGCTTTGTCATATAAGTGTTAGAGAAAAAATTGGACACAGAAAAGAATTCAAGCTGTAGATGATTACATAGTTTATATTTAAAATATGATGCAATTTAGATGATTAATTTGTCTAATTCAAGCTACTCATCTTTTATATGACTTCAAAAGGAAGCAGATTTAAGTAGGAATTAAAATTATGTAGGTTTGTTAAAATGCTGAAGGTTCAGATAAAGATTTTCTTAAAAAAAAATCTTATTCGGATTATGACCTGCTGGTTCACAGGACTTCTGGTTTTCTGCAAGTCGGTATCCCTCGGTACAGGAACAAACCACCTTGTGATCAGCACTAAATTTACAAAACTGCGTGCATCTGCCATTCTTAATGCTACATGATGCATCTAAAAGAAGCAAAATAGACAGCAACAGCATCATTTAACATGCATTTCTAAAAAATACATGGAACTATTGATTCATGTATGGGTCAAATATATGTTGGGGACATTCATGGAGAGAAATTTTGGAGCTTTGAACTAAGAGTGAAAAGAAAGGTAAAATAAGGCATAAAAACGGTGGTAGCACTATAACTGATTGGTTTAAAACTAAATGTTTGGATATTCTACTTTCACTAAATCATGGACTACAGGTTTTAAAATGCTATTTATTAATGTATAACATATTCAGAAAAGTACACAAAACTTTAGTATAAGTTTTCATAAAGTAAATGAGCCTGTGTAAACACTAAACTGACCAATATCAATACCCCAGAAGATGCCCTCTCCTGATCATTCCACCCTTTTTCCTTTTTATAGGTTACCATTACCTGGACTTCTAACACAGTAAATAGTTCTTGTCAGTTCTGGAACTACAAATAGAAGTTCACAATATGTACTCATCTGTGTGTTTCATTTAACATTTTGTCTGTGAGATTAATCCATGTTGTTTTGTATAACAGTAGTTCATTTACATTGCTGTGTAGTATTCCATTGCATTACTATTACAGCTTTTATGTATTCATTCTGCTAATGGATATTTGATTTGTTTCCAGTTTTTGGCTCTTATGTGTAATACTGTAATGAACATTCTTGTATATATTTTTTGGTGACATAAACATACCTTTTTACTGGTTTATAATTATGAGTGTAATTACTGGATCACATGTTCAGATCTAATAGATACTACCAAACAATTTTCTAAAAGGAATGTACAGATTTGAATTCTCACCATCACTGTATGGGTTTCAGTTATTAGGTATCTGTATTGCAGATATCTTGTCTCAGTTGGTGACTTGTCTTTTCAGTTGAAGTAGAGTCTTTTGCTGAACAGGAGTTCTTAGTTTTAATATAGTTCAGTTTATCAATCTTTTCCTTTATGGTAACCACTTTTTGTATTTTAAGAAATTTTTGCTTTCTGCAACTTCATCAATATAAAATGTTATTGTTTTATATTTCAAGCTTAGATCTCTTTTTCCCATATGAATATCTAATTGTTTTATATTTCAAGCTTAGATCTCTTTTTCCCATATGAATATCTAATTGACCTACCACTTTTTATTGAAAACACCAATTCCCTTCTCTACTGCAGTGGCACTTCTGTCATAAATCAAGCCTCCATATAGGCACAGGTATGCTCCTGAGCACTCTATTGTGTTTCATTGATCTGTTTGTCTATCCTTGTGTCAGTACCACACTGTATTAATAAATGTAACTTGATAATAAGTCTTGACATCTGATAGAGTAAGTAGTACAAGTTTATTCTTCCTCAAAACTGTCTTGGCTATCCTTGGCTCTTTGTATTTCCATATGCATTTTAGAATTAGCTTATTAATTCTGCCTGACCTCCCCTCACCAAAATAGCCTGTTGGGCACTTTGACTGGTATTACATTGAATCCATTAGTAAATATTTGATATATTTACTATATTATATCCTTTAATTGATGAACATTGCCCATTCATTTATTTAGGTCTTCCTTAATTTTTCTCAATAATGTCTCATAATTTTTTATGTAGAGTTCTTGCACATCTTATGTACATGCTTGACAATAGTACAGCTTTCAGCAGAAATCCTCAGTGGTCAGTGTCATCATAACATGGAAAGTTTGAAAATGAGTGACTGTATTAGATACTTCCTATGCACCACCTTCATTCTTCTCAGCTTCACCTGTGTCATTTTCCTGCATGGTGGTGATTTGCTCTGGGTATACTTCAACCAACCTCCTATAGGTGTATCCTTGAATTGCCTTGGCTTATAGCTGCCCTATGTGTCTTTTGCCTTGAGGCTTCCCTGTTAATGCTGAGGCATGGATGCCATATGACCTTCTGGGTACCCAAGCATGCCCAAGTAGGAAATGTGGGGAAGTTAATTCCCCATAAGTCAAACTTCTAACCAACAAGAGACAGATACTGATGGACAAATTCTTTCACCTCTTCTTCCCACTCAGGTGGACTAACCTGAGGTCAGTTTATTTAACTTACTGGAGACAGTCCCAGGAAGTTAAGCAATGAGTTGCAGTTAGAAGCGAGTAGTTTGATAACTCATCCTCTTACTGGCTTTCTTTTCCTTGCTGCCTCACTCTTTAGTTCCTTTTTCTTGCCCCTTGGGATTGCATATGTTAACAAATCAGCTTGTGTCTTTTTTCTGGGGAACACAGGCTAACAGAGTGACTGTATGGTTTTGGAGAATATGAACTTTTGAGTGACAAATCTAAACTTTTAAACGCTATTTTACATATGCTAGCATAGCCGAATGTATTAATTAGCTCTTAGTCCTTACTGATAGTTCAGGAAATAAAGGGAGGCAAATAGACTATTGCCATGGGGACAAAGGAACCAGCTTGAGCTTTAACCTTTGCTACCAATAATCCACTAAGGGCATGATCTAAGAAAATGGCACTTGGTCCTATTAATTAATTAATTTAAAGACCTTTCTCCCCACTAGCAGTGGTAATATCTCTGGATCTTTTTATGTTACTAGCTATCATTTTGTTGCACAAAGCAATACTAAAGTGTTCAGCCAAATCAAACATTACCTGTGGAAAGTGTTCAGTCAATATGAGATTGTGATAAGTTACAAAAGGTGCAGCTTGGTTTGTCCAGGGCATGCACAATGGGAATGAGTAAATTCTGTATTTTCTCAATTCTGATTCTGTGTTATTGGGTAAATAACCATACCACTGTATGATTCTCCACGTTATTCATTGCCCTCTAGGGCCCAGTATGTTGCTGGTGCTGTTGATCTTTGGCTTGTCTTGTGCAGGAGGTGGGAAATATCGCTTCCTAATCAGCAGTCTTTTGCCCTCAGCTAAAAGACTCAAGATTCCAGAAATAGAATAATAACACGAGGAATTCCAGGGGAGAGTTCTATAGAGCAGGACCTAAGGGACAGTTAGAATGGGACTCATTTATCAATTACTGAGCATTTCTATGTCAGGTACTGTGGTGGGTATGGGTGCTCTTTGATCCTGAAGCTGGTCTCAGTGCCTAGAATATCTGTTAAAGAATGTCTCAAAGCATCTGTTTTTCTCCCTCCATGTTAACATGAACAATGTCTAATTCCCTTCATGCCTACTACAAATGTTAGTATGTTCTGCTTTATTTTATTCTGGCTTTATATTTCCTGAGATATCCACTGGTGTGACAACCGAAGCTTGGACAAAAGATGTTTTATTTAACAAGTTTACCGTAAAATATGCTGTGCTTCAGCTAAACTCAACATAGTTCCTTTTCTCACTCCTCAGAAAATGTAGTAAATAAGACAGCAGTGTCTGTGACATGCTGGAAAATTGAAAAAGTGTTTATATGCTTGTGATTTTTTTCTTTCCACTCTACTTTACTGTGGGAAAATGCCTCTGTTACTCTTTAGAAGAGGCAGGAATGACCAAATTCTTACAGAACTTCGTCTATCTGAGAGATACTTGGATTTGTTGTACAGCTAGGGTACAGAGGTCTTTATTCTAACCAAAGGGACCTAGTAGCCAATTAATATTCTTTAACTAGAAAGCACACTCTGAATATTTATACCTCTCTCGCCCAGTGAAGGGCCCGATAGACAAGGGAAAAAGATAACAAAACATTCTTATTGATGAAAATCTCCTTTCTTTTTCCACACCATATAAGACAAAAGATGGGGCTGAGATGCCCCATAAACTGTGCTATCTAGTAGCTATTGAGATTAGTCTTTAATTTGAAGCAAAAAGCTTAAATGGTAATTTGTTTATGCTTTTGCTGTTGCTTTCCTCTATTGTCTGAGATAAAGAGCAATTTGAGGGAATTCTCATTCTGTTTGTTAGTTAACTGGGCTGAAAATATTTTTCTAAACCTTGATCAGATTGGTGGGTTAGATCAACATACTTTAGAGGCCAGGATTGGTGGTAGCTGCAGTACAACTGCAGAGTTCTGACCAAACCAAAATGTGGGAACATGAGAGTATCCACGTTGTGTCAGTTATAGACTTCACATTTTTGCTGTGTGGAACATAGACACACCTGTTAAACTTTTGTGCTTATATTTACATTCCTCAGGGCTATTCCCTTCCTCCTCTTAAAGCGTCTTTATATTTAAACTAGGTAAAAATACTTATGTTTTCAATTATAGTTTACTACAACGTGCCCTTCAGTTGTAACTGAGACTAATTGAGTTATTCATTCCCTCAGCTCCAATGGTTATATTATTTAAGCTGATAGAGTAACTACTCCAAAGAATTCTTGAGGTTTTTCATAATAGCAGGATCAAATTTATCCAGGTAAATCTGAATTTCAAATTATAACCTTTCAGATGAAAGTAGCACTTCAGAGATGTTGAATCAATTAACGCACGCGCAAGAAATGTAACCCAGACATTAGTTTGTCCCCACAATGCAAATCTAAAGGAATGGGACTCCAAGCCAGGTGTGCAAGTTCATTGACTCTTCTCTTTCTTTTCAAATATCTTTTCCCTGTCACCTTTATCTTTTTTTTTTAACCTTCTAAGAAATTTTAGAGCCCAAAGGGGGTCAATGAATTCCTTTTTAGTACTGAAAGGATTTCTGAACAACATTATGGGTGACTTTTTTCGTTTCTCAACAGGATAAGTGCAGCTGCTACATTTCATTTCATTTCATGCCCTTTTCATCTGTGAGGTGGATTGCTGTAATGCCTTAATAGAGTTCTGCTAATTTTCTACTCTTTGTCCTTAGTTATGTAGCCTGTGGTGTTAAATTATTTCCTTAGGATTGCATCTCTATTCTTCTGGCATATCAGAGTAGAAAGTGAATTCCTCATTAGCACTGTGTGCATTTCACAATCACAGTACCAGTAATATTGCATCTGGAGGTAATAAACAAGTAGGTAAAGGACATTGGGGTTTACTGCTCCAATTACCAAAACCTCAGAAAAAGTAATCTAGACTTTGAGAAGAAAAGGGATACGAGGATTCTAGGGTTGCTATGTAACACTTTTGATGTAATAAATATAGTCAAATTCAGGAATGAGCTTTGAATTTTGTCAACAAATTTAGTATATGAAGTGGTTTGTACATGTGGAGAATTCCCATTATATGGGATAATTGGCCAGTCATACCCTAGTTCTGTACTTAATTGACTTTCACTACCTATGTTGATAGCAATTTAGTCATGATTTCAATTTTCTGTGTTCAGTTTTCTCTGAATTTTGAATATAGTAGTTAAAAGCATGGGATTTGGTCACACTGAAGTTTAAGTCTTGTCTAAACCATTTATGCCTCTGTAACTTTTGGCTATTGGGGTTGCAGTTTTCTCATCTGTGTAGAATGGGGATAATGACAGTACTAACCACGTATGGTTGTACTAAGGCTTAATAAGTAAAGTGAGTGGAACATCATTATCACTTAGTTACCAAATATTGTTATTGATTTTAATATAGTTTCTTGAACTCATATTCTGAAAACTATAACTACAAATGAAATAAATGTTTATAAGCTTTGAAAGTATGTTTTTAAGAAAAAATTATGATACATGAATATTGCATTTTCTAGTTTCAACTGGTTTCAGAGGGAAACTTTGAACCATGAGTAGTCAAAACATAGTTACTTACCTAATTCACAGTTCTTTCCTTCAAATCCAAATGGACACCAACATTCATAGGAATTAATGTTATCCTTGCATCTGCCGCCATTTAAACATGGATTGGACTCACACTGATCTCCATCTTTGAGATAGGTTAAGAAATTGAATTGGCACATAAACTCCTTAGAATGCCCAGTCCTTCCCTGTAGATACTCATGGGGATGGGAGTCTGATTTTAGGGTCAGAGCAAAACTACTGACCTGGAAGCCAGCTGCTTATAGGCATATGATGCTCCTGTCTTCCTGAGTTTCTAAAAGCCACCCAAACAAAGATCCTTAGGCTAACACTGTCTTAGGAAGTTGCCCTGAGGAAGGCATGTACATAGTTTATGCAATCCAAGGGAAGAGGGAGAAGGACGTTTTTGTATAGAAATGTACTATTTCAGCATAGGGTGAGACCAGTTTTCAATCCTTCCTTACAGAATGATGGCAGAGTTAATTCCAAGTCAAATTGAATTGCTTCAAAAAATATCTGTATGTCGTACAATGCTCTATGGCAGGTCTTGTAGAGTAAACTAAGCTAGATAATATATGGTGTTTCCACTTTAGGAACTGATGGCCTAGGCATGGAGCAAATGCATCTACTTCCTTGTATTGCCACTTAACTTTGATGTATCATATGCAGTAATGGTCCAAGACAACAGAAAAGATGTCAGAAACATCTGTTACTGCTTAAAGATAGTCTGTGTTCTACAAATTAGGTTTCAAATGGTCTAGGTAATGTGAAAAACAGCATTCAATATATCATACAGAATTTAAAAAGATTCTACAGTGTGCTTTATTTATGTATGCATTGGTTATGTTTCTATTCTGCCTTTCTTCAAGTTTCTACATTTACTGTGCACTTGAAAGCCTTTGAATACACCAAAATTAAGAAAACAGGAGGAAGGAATAGACAAAAGGAGAAGAGTCAGAATGCGAAGGGGACCTTTAAGCCTCATTTCTTAGTGCTCTGCCTTAATCCACGCTTCTAAAGGAGTTTCAGGAGAAAGGATGAATAGAACCAGAAGGGAGATGGTAGGTACTTTGAACTAGAAAAATATCCCTGAAGAAAAAAATGGGAGCTTGATCTGTAAGTCTCAATATATGAGAAACAAAGGAGTAAGAGATAAAGATAACAATAAGAATCAAAGAATCAGGGAAAAGGGGGAACTGAGAAATTTCTAATTATCAATCGTATTTTAGAGCAAATATCCCTGATATCCTGTGTGTAGATTCCTGCCTGTTTACTCCCTCTTCTCTGTCAGAAGCATCTATCCAGGTTCTGTTGACTAAGAGGCTAATATCCCTTTATCAGAAATAGTTTATCCCTGGAAAATTTCCCTGCTGTAAAAATTAGACCTTGTCCCCTCTGCCACTACATCTGATAAGCTTTTGCACAGACATTCCAATTTGTTCCAATTCTATGAAAACAAAATACATTATCTCTGGTTTATTATTATTGATGTTCAGAACTGGTCTAAAAATGAGCTACATTTGCCCTTTATATTATAGACCAAAAAATGTGAATTATTCAGGATGTTTTACTGAAAGGGTCTGGGCTTTCAGCCAGCTACACAGGAACTCATCTGCCGAGACATATCATTAAAATGAGTGTCATTTTATCCCACGTGTAGTCCTCCTTTGGGTTCTTGTCTGTGTGTACTTTGGGTCCAGGAAAAGCCATGGACAGTTGGGGTCAAATACAACAAGAGACAAGACCTTGCCAAGTGAGAGATTCCTGTTTAAGACTACCAGGTTCCTGTTTCATGAATAACTGCATTTAGATTTGAAAGCCATGAGGTGTAATAGTAAAAGCAAGGGGTTGAGCAGTAGAGAATTTGGCTTCTCTTCTGGGCTTCATGACTCCCCAACTGATGACCTTTGGCAACTCCTTTAACTTCCCTGAGCCTCAGTTTACTCTCCTGTAAAATAGAGTTAATAATGCTTTGGTCACAGGCATGGTGTGAGGGTTAAATGAGATAGGCCTTTTGTAAACTGAAAAGTGCTTGACAGATGCTAGTAAAGTGGTTGGACAATCATTCTTCTTCAGCGAGGCTCTTTATGTGATGAATTGATGGTACAGAATAGCACAGCAGTGAGAAGCCTGGATTTCTACTATGTGGGAGAAGAAACATAGGCTAATTTTGTAGTGGTTAGGAATCTCGACAGCAAGTGAAAAGAGGGAGGAAGTTTCTTTCTTTTTTGTTCTTGTTTTTGTTGTTTTATTTTTTGGTTGCTGAAGCAATAGTGACAGAATAATGCCCTCCATGTCTTCCAGATAGCTATACCTGTGGTATGGCAAACAGTATGCCTATGTGGCCCAAAAGGCAGAGGCCCAACTTTAAAATATGACCCTGGGGGTGGGGAGTGAGCAATGAAGGGATTATAGGAATTTAAATGTAGTGCGGAATTTTTTGGAGGGGAAAGTAGGCATGGATTTACTTTTAGAAATAAATCATGTGATTCAAAGTTCTAAATTTTGCAGGAATGGAGATTACAAAGACCTCTTTGGATTAACTTTAGGAGGTACTTCAGTAAAAATTACCATGGTAGTATTCATTTCTAAGATCAAGGAAAGACAGATAAAGCAATATAACAGAGTCAACTCCTTTTTTTCTCATGATTTAAAAACAAAAGTGGAGGAATTGTGAGTTCTGAGAGTATGAGTGTCCAGTAGTGTCTCCAGAACATACACTGTAGAAAATAGAATTGGATTTCCAACTGATGGAAGTTGGAGAATTTGGTATTTGGATTAATTTCTTTTTATTTATGCATAGTCTTAGGTAAGTCAATCTTTGAAACTTACCCTCCCTCAAAATCCTACTGCTGAATTTTAAGTTATTGTAGTTTTAAAATTAGTTGTCATTAAAGTTTTGAATTTTCCTTCTTTTGGTTAATTCATTGGATGAATATTTACTGAGTACCTCTTTTCCAGATATTGTTTTAGGTGCTGGGGATATATCAATAAACAAAACAATTGAATATACAGTCACATGTGTACAGGTTTGCAGCCTAGGGGCCTAGGGGCAGTAGGCCACATCAATATATCCTAGGTATGTAGTAGGCTATACCATTTAGGTTTAAGTAAGTAAGCTCTATTATGTTCATACAATGATGAAATTGCTTAATGACACATTTCTCAGAATATATCCTCATTGTTAAGTTTCTCTGCCAACATGAAACTTGCATTTTTGGATTTTTGGGGAGCAGGAAAAAAGAAATGATAAATAGTATGAGTAAGAAATTATAAGATACATTAGATGGTGAAAAGCTCTGTTAAAAAGTAGAGTGGGGGCCGGGCGCGGTGGCTCAAGCCTGTAATCCCAGCACTTTGGGAGGCCGAGGCGGGTGGATCATGAGGTCAAGACATCGAGACCATCCTG